TTAAATATGTCAACATCCATAACCCAGCATCCCCACTCATGGATGGTAATCCAGAGAACATCTCCCATGGGACCTAGGTAATGTGTATTAGGATGTCCATCCCAGTGTGTTGATTGGGTCAGGGACTTGAAGGTAACATTAAGGGAATGGAAATGGAAAGTGGAATTCCAAATAGTCATCAGAAGCAATGAGCTAGATACACATGCAGCAACATAGCTCAGGAAGCCGAGGCAGGAAGATTGTAAATGCCAGGCCAACCTCAGGAACTTAGCACAGCTCGAAGCAACTTAGTGAGACCCTGTCTCAAAATAAAAAGGGCTGGAGATGTGGATCAATGGTAAGGCACCCCTGGGTTAAATCTCCAGTACAACAAACAATCCTCCCCCCCAAACACAGTTATGATACCTTTTATGCAAATTTAAGATATATGCTCAAAACCAATATATTTTACAGAAATATACAACTGAATATATTAGTTTATGGGCTTCATGGTGGAAGGAGATGAATGTGGAGATTAGGGATGAAGGGGAAAATATTTTATAGCTAGCCACTCAGAAACATGATAGCACAGAGCCTGGACTTCCTCAGCTGATTGTCTGGGTCCAAATCGCAACTTTGCCCCTTAGTAGGTTTGCTACTTTGGGCAATTAACTTCTCTCCTTGATCTTCTCCATCCTTAAACTGGTCTGGGTAGATTAGCTTCTGCTCATCCCAGTCTGTGTGAAGCTCCTACCACATCAAGGTCTGTGGTTGCTTTGACCAATAGGATGCAGAGGAAGTGCTGCTCTGGGAGTTCCAAGCCCCAGAGTTGAAGCAGGACAGAAGTATCTTACCTCTTCTAGACTCGAACAACAATGAGAAAACCCTTAAAACCGAGATGGCACGTGGAAAGTCAGGCCACATGGAAAAGCACCCAGGCCATCTAATGATATAAGACCCCCAGAAGAGGCACTGCCTGGGCAAGTCCAAGCCGACCCATGGAATAGTGAGATGCACTATGGTTGTTTAAACCACTGAATTTTGTTATTATAGCCTTAGGTAAAATTGTTATGAGGATTAAAGTAAGAAATTTTCTAAGTTCTTGGCTCATGACCTGTACAGACAGATGGTGAAAAAAATGTGTCATGGAGCTTCAGATAGCTGAACACATGGGGGTTCCTGCAAGGAGACTCCTTGCTCCTTTCCTCATACCTTGTCCTGTACATCTCTTCATTGGGTATTCATTGTTCTCCTTGGTAATATTCTTTATAATAAACCAGTTTAAAAAAAAAGGCTGTTCTTAGATTTCAGAGTACAAACTGATTGATGCTTCCAAACCAAACTGATACCCTGAAACAAGTCCAAGGCAAGAATGATTCACCTAGCACCCAGGAGCATGGGACATGGAAACATCATTCCCCCATCCACCAGGGATTGAACCCAGGGTTGCTCAACCACTGAGCCACATTCACAGCTCCCTTTTTAAAAATTTGAGACAGGGTTTTGCTAAATTTCTGACGCTGGCTTTGAACTTGTGGTCCTCCTGCCTCAGCCTCCTAAACTGCTGGGATTACAGTTGTTCAACATGGTGCCCAGTGGGAACATCTTTCTTAGGTGTGGTAAAGTAAATTGAATGAAAAGTTTATCGCTTTCCATCCTACCACCACAATAAATACATACATACAAGAGAAATTTGTTCTGGACCAAAATGTATATGATTAACTTAATTATTTGTTTATTAATTTCCTTCATAAGGAAACTGTGACCCCGGTAGGTGAAAAGTGTATTTTAAAAACAAAGAAACTGAATCTTACTCTGTTGTCTTTGTGCACAGAATTAGAGCCTTCAAGAAGGCTCAGGATGTGATTTCAGTGACTCATGATCCCTCATTTCTGGGAACCCAGACAACTGATAGACATTTGTTTTTCTCTGTAGCACCAGACCCAGAACTAGCATTTTTTTTTTTAATGTGTAATGATTTCTCAATAGCCATAGCCTCCAGTACCAGGAAATGTAAGAAAAAACAAAAATATACACATCATTCAAAGATCTCAAGTCAGTAATCTCAACCTCCAGAAGGGTCTTTAATAGTTCTTTTTGCTTTCATGAAAAATGCTCAATAAATATTGGTTGATTATTTAAAATTCGTCCCTTTTCTTTTTGAAAAGGGTTTAAAACAATTTGTTTATAGTCTTCAAATTGATTATTAAAATTTTTCTTCGAAAGCCATGCTAGAACAAAATAACCCAGATGGTGGCAACAGTGAGGAAAAGGAGGGAGATGGGAAGGTCTGCCATTCATTTATAAACTATTGGGAGCTAAGTCTCACAAATCTTATGCAAGGACTGTATGAGGTAGGTAGTATCATCATTTTACAGAGGCAAAATGGAGGCTTTGATGATGGATCACTTTTCCACAATTGGCAGCAGGGTCACTAGAGAGTCAGGAGATGAATTTGGGTAGACTGATTCCATAGCTGCTTTTCTTTTTCACCCCATCACATTGGGAAGCAGAGTCGGAATCACCCTGGAATGACTAAAAGAGCGGGAAAGGCAGGATGTCCTAAAGTCAGCTCCTAGACACAAACTATTGTGAAGCCAAGAAGGTGGATGAAAGCCCATATTTCTGCAGAACTGACACATTTTGAGGGAGATAGCAGTTGCCAAGGCATCACTACCCAGGTGCCAATTTCTTATGACTCTAATAACCTCGTCGGCACCAGGCTTCATGCAGTCAGTCTGCCAGTCAATAGATCCTCTGTGTGCTTGGCCAGGAAGGGCGGCGTCAAGCCAGGCTGTCATGGTGCCAACCTTCTTTCTTCCTAAAAATCATTCTGAACCCTGTCCCCTCCCACTGGCCCAAGTCCCATCCCACATCAGTCTTCAGATTCACAACTCTACATTTCTCATCTAGCACTAGGGACTACAAGCTGTGTGGGTGATCTTTAGGCAGTTTCCAGGAATGCTCTGGATTAAAGTGGAAAGGAAGCATTTCCTGATTTCAATTCCTAGCTGTCTTTCCTCCTTGGGTTCTTTTGGCCTTGGACATTCCCTAGTATGGGCAACTCTGTAAGGTGTGTAGAGTGTTAGGGAAAGCCAAGGGCATTCAAGTATGAGGGAAAGACACAAGGCGCAGGTGCAGACCCAGAGATGGCCAATGACATTGCTCGGTGGGGAACAAAGAAAACCCTTGGAGGACAAGGAACCTGTAGCCAGCTGCTTGCCCAAGTATGGTGTTGCCTGAGCTGTGGTTTCACTTCCATTTCCTCCAGGCCCCAGATGAGTACTTTCACTGAAAATGAAAAGACTGTGGCTACAGTCCAGATGAAAGACAAACTGTGGCAAAGCCCCAGCACTTGGGGCAGGAGGGACCAAGACAACAAAAGACAAATCAGAGTAACTTCCAAATGGTGCCATTTATTTATTCTCAATTGAATTTTCAGCTCATCTCAGTGTCTGCTCTCACAGTTCTCTGAGGAACTGTAGAACTTCTGTGGATGCTCCTCCCCTGAGACAAGCACAGAAACAGGCACAAACTTGGGGGGGGGGCATGAGCATACCAGGCATGTTTTAGTTGTCAATTGCCTTCTCTGGCTTTACTGTGATGCACATTTGTCTTCACATGACAGTCTCAAGAAAAATGAGTAGGATGGTACCACGGCAAGGAGTATGGAAGAGATGCAGTGAGACACCAGGGTACTTGCCTGCCCCCACTCCTTGTCCCTTCCTCTGCTTCATTTTTTTTTTTTAAACATTGCCAGGGATTGAACCCAGGGCCTCACACATGCTAGGCAGGTGCCCTGCCACTGAGCTGCATCCCCAGTTCTTTCTATTTATTTTGAGACAGCATCTCACTAAGTTGCCCAGGCTGGCCTCAAACTCAATCCTCCTGTCTCAGCCTTCCTAGTAGCTAGGATTGCAGGTGCACATCACCAAACCTGTCTTTCTGCTTCATTCTTTTTTTTATTTTTTGAGAGAGAATTTTTAAATATTTATTTTTTAGTTTTCGGCGGACATAACATCTTTGTTTGTATGTGGTGCTGAGGATCGAACCTGGGCCACACGCATGCTAGGCGAGCGCGCTACCGCTTGAGCCATATCCCCAGCCCTCTGCTTCATTCTTGATCTTTCAAAAATAAAGAAGCAGGGGTTGGGGATGTGGCTCAAGCGGTAGCGTGCTCGACTGGCATGCGTGCGGCCCGGGTTCGATCCTCAGCACCACATACCAACAAAGTTGTTGTGTCTGCCGATAACTAAAAAAATAAATAAATATTAAAAAAAAAAAAAAAAAGAAGCAAAGGAAGAGTACAAGTTAGCAAGGATGTTGACATTCTACTAGCAACTTTGTGATAATTAGCAAAAGGCACCCCCTTTTCCTGGCACATGCAGCCCTTCTATGCAGCAGGGCATGAAGGCAGCCCCCTCCCACGCTGTGTTGGCTAGGTACCTTTGTGCCTATGCTGCAATTCCCTAAACTCTCCCACCTTGAACAACCTCAGGGTTAAAAGACCAAGAAGAGATTGAATGCCACCCAGTAGTCTTCAGAATTCCAGATGGGCCCTGGTATTGATGGAGATCAGAGCCTCTCACTAGGAGGTCCAGGATGGTGACCTGAGAAAAAATGTGCTGATGCTATTCCTGGCTGCCAGGGGTGTCCTGCCCACCACCCCACAAGCAACCTACCCCTTCTCCCTTGGACTCTGCTTTACTTCCCAGGATGGGGATGCATCTGTAGGGAAAAGAGGCATGGCCAAGTATAGGATTAATGTGCTACCCTTTTCAGCACAGGAACCCCAGAAAATTGGCTGCCTACCTGTGATAGTGGTTCTCTGCAGCCAGCCTCAACAGATATGGATTCTGATCCATGGATTCCTTAATTCTTGGAAGAAGCAGGGAAGAGGCAGGGTATGGTACTCTAGGGAAGGTTGCCATTTGGTTGAGAGGTTGCCACTAGTAGAGCACAGAACGAGGCTGGGTGACCGTCATTTATGTATTACGGTGCCGCAATTACAGGCTACCAAGTTGCACTTTTTGCTCTGGAAATTTAATGTGTGACAGCTGCGTGCAGCCAGTGGTGTCCAGGATTTTTAAAAGGTCAATTAAGAAACGGTTGATGGTGCCGCAGCTAATGACAGCCCAGAGGGGTGAGCAGGGCCGCGTAAACAGAAGGGCCGAGATGTATTTTACTGGAATTGAAGTGTCGAAGTGAAGCGTAGTGGGGAGGAAATCTATTGTCACAAGCCATAAAGCACATCTGAGGTTTGCGGGGGTGAGCAGTACAGCTGTTTTCCCCGGGCAGCCCGGGGAGCAGCCTGTGAATAGAGGGCTCCGTCCGACAAAGGGGACACCTGCATCAGCTCCATCAATCTGCAGGCAAAAATCATTATCCTCGCTGCTGCATGTTCCTTTGCACTTTTCGCTCTCCCACTTGGGAGCATAAGGCGGACGCTGCATTGATACTCAGAATGTGGGTCATGTTCTAGAAATCCATATTTTAAGCGTGCCCGGAAGCTGGTCCCGCCCTCTCTTCGCGGCGCGCTTGGGTGGCGGACAGCCCTGCAAGAGCTTCTGCAGCCAGTGTCCTCCTTGGAAGACACGTCCGCTGCCTGGCTTCAGCACACACCAAGCAGGCTAAGCGTCAGACCCTCTGAGCTGAGATGGATGAAAGGGTGACACGAAGCCCTTAGAAAAAGTCTATTTCGGCCTGTGACAGAATTGGCTCATGGTTAGGAAAGGCACTGTGTGGGGTTTAAAAAAAATCAGACAAAGGGGTCTTAGACTCAGTGCACCGCTGCTAGGACAGGCTTTTTTGTCACATCTACCTGTCAAGCTACAAATTCAATACAGCAATGAGAATGCTAATTGATATGCCAAACAGGTCTAGGGTTCCTAGAAATGTCTAATGATCCACCAATTCATTAGGAATGCAGAATTAAGACATGCACTCAATGAAAGGGGAGGGATAACACCAATCTTTTTGCTTTTCCTTTTTTTTTTTTTCTTTTTTAAACCTACTTTGGGGAAACTTAACAGGTTTTACGATTTAAAAAAAGAGTATTGCAATCAGTAGGGTTTGTCTTTCACACACTGGATATTTATTATTAGAAAATAGCTTCTATGAGCTGTCAGTACCAAACAGGTTGAAAGGAGGTGCTTCTCACCATAATTTTTTTTTCTTCTTAATGATATTTAAATAAACAGCTCACTGTGTGGAGAGTTGCCACGCCTTTTTTCCCTTTAAAAACTGAATAATTAAATGAGGTTTAGTACAAAACATCCTTTAAACATATGACCTGTTCTGTAGTCATTATGGTGTCTCTTTGAGTAAGAGACATGAAAGAGATGAAAAATACCACTCAAGCTATCAAATTACCCCCAAAGAGTCCACAGTAGAAACCGGGAAACAAACTAACCCAAATGAAACCCATCCAAACCAAGAAACCAGTTTTTACATTGGCTTTTCGATTTTGATTATCATCTAAGTTTAATATATATTTTTATATATATTTTGAAATAGTAATAAAAAAGGAAGAATTGAATTGCATCCTTAGCAGGACAACCTTCCTCACATGTTAAAGAGGTGTTCAGAAAATTCCATAGAGTATCTGCTAAATAAACATGTTTGGCAGCTTAGCAAATATCATATGATTGCAGCATCCACGATTTGAAGAAAAACAGCATTTGCCTTCTTCTGGCAGAGTTCATTGCTCGGGCGATGTGCTAACACAGCTCTGGATGTTCTTAGACCCACAAGGTTAAGGAAGGGCTTGGAGGTGGCTCAGTGCATGGCCCCAGTGCAGAAACTTCCAAACCCAAAACACGAATCAACCAACCAACACAAACATCAAACAATTGTCTCCTTTGAGTTCCTCTTGACCGAGTGGAGGCCCAGCAAGGACTGCTGGTTAGAAGGTACGTTGACAGACTTTGGGATGAGGAGAATCACCCTCTGATTGGTCCGACGCCATTCGTTGTACAATCGACAGTGGTACCTAAATGACACCTGGATATAGGAGAGGAAAAATAAGAGAAGGTATACAGGTAGGCAGAAGTTGATAATCAATCCAAGAAATAATATTGCCACATAAAGCCGCTTCAGAGGCTTGCAGCCTTGCAGTGGGGCAAGAACTCTGGGCACAACAGCTCCAGCAAGTAGTTGAGTGCTGGGATATTACTGGCCATCAACCAAAGTGCTCCATGTATGAACATGACAGGGCTTACATGATGGCTTCCCTTTTCTCTCCACATAGCTAATCAGGATATGAACAGGAAAATAAAGCTCTTTCTGAGTTTGGATTTATTTCGGGGCCCCCCAGACCTTAGTTGTGAAAAAGGTTTGCTGGAGGCAGCAGGACAGACTAGGTACACCACCAGCCCTTGTCCAGCTGTGTGACATGGTCAGTGTACCTATCTGCTCCACCAGCTTCCTCTGTTAAATGGGTAATACTAGGGATTAATATAGTTTCCTGCAGGTTAGACATGCACTACAAAGGATCCCATTTGCACTGTGATACAAAGGACATCCTCTGTACTGGGCTGTGGACAAACTGTAACAACTGTACTTGGTGGCCCTGAACATGGCATGGAGCACTCTATGTGCTGTGCTTGTTTTTCTCTCCCTGTGCAGCAGGAGCAACTTGATAGAAGGCTCTGTGTTGCATGCCCAGCACCTATCACAGTATCCGACATTTATATTGCTCAAGAGAGTTTGCTGAAAATGAATGAATAAATGAATAAAGATCCTAATATTTCTGATTGCAACACAGCTTCAAACTAAAGCCTTTCTTACATTATACCTGATAGTGTAAGCAGTGAGTCCTAAGGTCAATTGTGACATAACTATACCACAAAGCACTTGCTTTTTATGTAAAAAAGCTGGAATGACAAACTTTGACCTGTTTGTTTTGGAGAAGGCTGGCATAAACTGATGGCCTGCCCAGGAAATTCAAAGTCTATACTTTTGAAGAAGTATTTTAAAAATGGGAGTAGATTCCAGTTTGAGTGCATCCAGATGCCTAGTAGGTGCTAGCAAGGAAGGTGTCCATGGATTCAGGGTGACCAGTCACTCAGGCCTGGACTATGTAATTGTCTTAGGGTAGGTGGGTTGTGTAGATTCTCAGTATGGGTCCATGGGAGTCAGAAAGTGGGCTGAACTGATGGTTTAAGCTCAGCATTTGTAGAAGTAGAACAGAGAGTAGACTTCCATCAGAGGGGCTTGGCCTTCATGGCTGAACTATGAAATTCAAGGCTACTTGCTCAAACCTGAGGCAAGGAAGCAGAAGACATAAGCCGAGAGCCAGAGAGATTGAGTATGAACATGTATGCTTTTAAACTCACACAGATGTCTTTTTCCAAAAGCCCTGAACATACTAAAGTAAATCAGTTTTTTCTTTTTTTGTTAGGCTTCAGTCTCTCTACTCTGTCCTGCTGCTATTCATGAGTGTAAGAGGGGAAGCTCGGAAACCCTGCTTTCAGGGCCAAGTGCAGGAAGGAGATGGAATGAAGACAAGTGCTAATGAAGTCTGAAATCTGGAAATATTAAAGAAAAGCTGGGTTTCAAATCAAGAGGCCCTTCTTTACCCTGCTAAGATTCTCTGCATACTGGGCATTAGTAATCTGAGAAGCTGTGGGTACATGCAGGAAGCAGGCCTCAGATTCTGAGGCCTGATACACAGAGCTGGAATCCTCATTCTCCATCTAGTGGCTGCCTGACTTCGTGGAGTTATTTGTCATCAACAAGCTTTAGTGTCTTTTTTTTTTTTTTTTTTTTTTTTTTTTTGTAAAATGTGAATAACGACATCTGAGATAAAGCATGTAACACACTTAGACAGCCTTGCACATGTGGTGGTGTTCTGGACCTGAAAAAGACGATGACAATTTTGTGACTCTTCTTTAGACACAGAGAAACTGAAAAGAGAGAGATTGAGCTGTTTCCTCTTAGGCCTTACTTTGAGTTGTGGTCATGGGCCAGCAATAGGTTGCATCTCCTGGGAGCTTATTAGATTATCAGAATTTTGGGCCCCACCCAGACCAAAGGAATAAGAGAGCGCATTTTAACAAGATCCCATGGTGATTGGCATGTACATTCAAGTCTAAGAAGCACTGCTTCAAGTATTATTGAGATTCAAGGACTTAGCAGGTTTCCCTGTTCCTTGGCCAAGATTAAAAAAAAAAAAAAAAAGAAGAAGAAGAAGAAGAAGAAATAAAGGAGGAAAGACAGAAAGAAAGTGGCTGGGGCTGTCACTCAGTTTTAGAGCACTTGCCAGCACACATGAAGCACTAGGTTCCATTCTCAGCACTACATAAAAATAATAAATAAATAAAATAAAGGGATGTGTCCATCTACAACTAAAATATTTAAAAAGAAAAAGAAAGAAAGCCACTTGTATCAACAACCAAATGAGATCTTAATAAGCTATTTAATTGCTATTAACTACCACAGTCTGCAGGCAAATTCAGTCACTGAAGAAAGCATCATATGAAGACTATTCCTTATCAGGGAAAATAAAGGAAGTTGAGCACCAGGCAGAGGAGACCACAGGTCTGCATTGCCCTGGGTTGATGGCTGTCCCTGTATCTAGATGCTCCCCCACTCCCTCCCTACAATGCAATATCATAGGCAAAAAGGAGGCTTAATGTAGAGAAATAAAGAAGCAGTAAAGAAAAAATAAACAACATAAAATTTAAAAAGACACTACAGGGCTGAGGTTGTAGCTCAGTGGTAGAGTGCTTGCTTAGCATGTGTGAGGCCTTGGGTTTGATTCTCAGCACTGCATATAAATAAACGAATAACATAAAGGTCCATCAACATCTAAAAAACGTTTTAAAAAAGACACTACAAACAAAATGTTAGGAGTTTTAAAAGATAGTTTTGAATTTTCTGAGTTTTTTTTTTTTTTTAGGAGAGAAGAGAAAGAAAGGGTATAGGGCCATCATTTAAAAAATGTTACGTCTTATAGGATGGATTTCCTCAAGTTTATTCATGTTTGTATCTAAAGGATAGTTACCAACTTCCTATCATGGGAGAGTCTGTTTACAACGAGTTGCAACTACTATGAATGGCAGAAGGGGTAGGAAATGTTAATATTCATCTTTCCCCATTAGAGAGGTGACTAAGGCTGTGGTGAAGGTTTGCTGTGAAGTCACAGCCGACTTTGGGAAATCTAATTACATTTTTCGATTCTGCCCTTTCTCTCGAAAGTTATGATATAACTTAAGTATATGGATGGGGCTGGGGTTTTAGTTATTTGCCTTCCCTGCCATGGGCCCAGCTTGCTTCTCTCCGACTATATTGTGGAAGAGAAGAAGACTGGTAGTAAATTTACCATGGAGAAATACTACCAAACCTTCTCTGGCTACCTGTAGGAGATGTGTCGAAACCACAGTGAGGCTTGTTGGGACAGTGTTCTACTGGATGTTTCCCCCGTCACAATAGGAACTTAAAGGAGTTAAGGGACCAGCAGTCTGCCTTTGAGGAACCAGGCCATCCATTCATTTTGGTCCATGCTGGGTACTGTCGGCATCAGTGGTGTGACAGAAACACTTTGGGCCCCATGGTGCATTGACTTGCAGCCCTATACTGGGGCCAACACCATGTCCATCAGTGTTATCATGTTAGCATGGACTCGGTTCCCAGTAAGCTCTTTCTGTGTCTGTTCATGGACTTCAGGTCATTTGTTACAGGAACAGTGATGTTTCTGGGACACTCTACCCTGAGCTCACAGGGTAGAAATGGGTGAGGGCCAGGCCTCCTGGGTTCCAGGTATGCTTCTGGAACACCAAGTTTGCATCAAGATGGGTCCTGATGGCCACATGACAAAGTCCAAAGGCACTTGGAGGCATGTGGCATGACCACTTGTCCCTCTTCACAGCACAGGGTGGCAAGGCCCTTCAAGGAATTGCTCCTCTGAGGAGCCTGGCTTGGACTGACACTGTGTTTGTTTATCTAAGACATTTTCAGAGCATATTCTCCTTAAGCTTGACAGCTTGTTTACAATGGGTTTCTGCCGGAGGGCAGTTTCCAAGTGCTGTCAGCTTCTGAATTACGGCTCTTGCCAGGGCTGCTCAGTACAGCATTTATCTGGGAAGGAATTATTCTTCAGTAACCTATTGCTGAGCTGACTCCACAGCACGATTTTCACACCAGTCAAAGGGGAGAAATGCCTTTCTTTCCCTCCTGCTACTTTGCATTTTATAGAGGGCTGGGGAAAGGTAGGAGTGGGGGGGTGGGGAGGGAAGTCACAGGGTGACAACCCTGAGCCAGCACTATGCTAGGTGCTCGGATATATGTTCTCAGGTGTTACCCCACTTAATCTTCATGATAACCACTGATCCAGGGGTTATCAATTATTTCTTCCTTTTTTTTTTTTTTGTATAAGAGGAAGGATGAGAGGTTAAATATCCTATTTGAGTTACTAAGATATTAGGATACTAAATCTTAGATTTAAACACGGAGCCTCTGGATTCTAAATGCATGCCTTTTTTACTATGCAGCACCATCTCTCAGACACATTTCTGAAATGAAGTATGTTCTTCTAAGGCAGCCTAGTCTAAGTACCTTTTCCACCCAAACCTTCCTTTCACCTGAGATAGGAGATGAAATAGGTTCACATCCATTGTTCCCTGCCTTCCCACTTTTCCTTCTTGTTAGGAAAGTGTGTGGCTTTATAAAGCAAGTTTTCAAAAAGACCTTAAATTGGTTTTGAAAGCCCAGCATGTAGGTCTCACCTTCATCCATCCTTCATCACAGGAAATCTTCTAAGAAAAATTACAGAGCAGAAAAAGTCTAAATATGGCAAAAACTTATACATAATTATTATTTCCCAAAGTATTTTCCTATGTATTCTTCCATTTCAATCTTACAACATGAGGGGAAGTTGGCCATATGGTCATTACTGCCACCCCCACTTTATAGAAGGGGCCCCTTAAATTCAGAGAGGTAAAATGACTTTCCCAAGATGGTGTAGTCAATGGAAAGATAGATGTATTTAGACTATTTAATTTCTTATTTATAACCATTCTTTCATCACAATAGAAGCTTCTGGATCAGCTTCATTGCTTGATTCACAATGAAGTAGGACACTTCGGAGCATGGACTTTTAAGGGAGGGAATAACAGTGTCATTTGGGATTTCATTAACCTGGAAACAGGATATCTAAGTTAACTGGAAGACTCAGGTAAGTTCTTTGCATTAGAAAACTCCCAGCTTACCAAGGCTCAAGTCATGTCCCTCTTCCTGAGACTAAAATGTGTCCTCTTGCTGTCTGAACACTCTCCTGGGAGGGGCCAGACAAGGCTGGCAGTACCACATGATGAGTAAGAGGGAAATGAGCAGGGTCCTTGGAGTAGCAGCTGATGGAGGCACAGGGAGGGAGGAAGTATGAGCCTGAGAAGCAGCTTCCACATGCTGACACTGTGCTATGGGATATGGCAAGGTACACTTTAGACAGGAAACACCGATTGAATAACAAAGGAACGTGCTCAGATTAGAAATGAGCAGGCACAGGAGAGTAATGCCAGGAAGCAGGGCACCAGGTTTCTGAAAACATTCAAGAGGAAAGTGACGTCCTTCCCGCAGCTCCCACAGGGAAGCATTAAGAGAGAGCAAATGTTGTACTTTGTGGGTGCTGCCAACTGTGCCTGAGCCATCAACTTACTGCATAAAGTTAAAAGAATGAAAAAAAAAAGATGTTTAAAAATTCTTCCTCATATACAGCAGGAACACTTATTGGGAAATGGCTTTTCTTTGGTGGCAGCTTCTCAGCTAGATAAATTAGTGCTTTTATGGGCAGCAGAGTAAATATCCCAACACAGGGAATAATCATCAGGCAAAGTGCAGCTCCACGTCCAACAAAGACTTTAGGCTGTGTTGGGACATAAGAAGAAAATAACCAGCAGGGAGGATTCATGATCTGTGCAGGCGGGGGCAGCAACAGCGGCCAAGTGCATCATTCACAATATACTACAATCCCAGCAAAAGTGAGAAACATAAACAAGAGAAGGAAAGTGCCATTTTTCATAACAGGAGGAGTCCGAGACTACTGGAGGAGAGAAATGTCCTAGGTGCGTGTCTTTGATGGATGCTCAGAAGTTGGGCTTTTTCTTTATTTGTTCTGTTCTTCCTTGTGGTGCAAACCCACGCATACATGCATATACACTCACATGCAGAAATACATCAAATCACACACTTTGTTCAGCATTTGAAGGTCTGTGCTCTACTGGGCAGGTGAGATATGCTACAGCTGGGAGGCTGGCAGCTCCAGCTGGCCTGAACCCCCAGTCATGGGCCATACTTACTAGTGTCCAAAAGAGGTAAATAGTGAAGAGTGCGACAGTGAGTGCAATCAGTCCGACGGCCTCCAGCCGACTACTAAAGTGCAGGTGGTCCACGGCGCCCCGCAGGCACAGCCAGCCTGAGATGGTGGCTAGTGGGGTAATAAACAAGAAGCACACCATGTCTCCAAACAGAGTCCGCTTCTCATGCTGGGGGCCAGGGTTTCTGAGCCACTGCCAGAAAAAGGGAGACAGAGAAAAGCAAGGGAGAAGGTTAATGCCAGTGTAGAGTGGGGACACACTGTTCTGAATTGTTTTTGCCCTCAGAATCTGGGAAAAGGCACTTCTGACCTGTTCTGAGATAAGAAGGAAACATTAAGAGCTCATTGTCATGCCTCTTCCCCTTGAATAATAATTATTATGGTAATAATAACAATGATAGTTTACAATGTTCTTGTTGTAGCTGACTTGCTTTTTGTGAAAGAAATTCAAAGGCTACTATTCTGAATCATAGTGATCACCTGTGGAAGGCAAGGTGGAGAAGGTGTACTCTCTGAAGGTGCTGTGGTTTGGATGAGTGTCCCCAAAGGATCAGATATAAAGGTTTGGTCCCCGGGTGGAGGGTTGGAGAGGTGCTTGAACCTTCAGGAGGTGAGGCCTAGTGGGAGGTGGTTAGGTCATTGAGGCTACGCCCTCGAAGGGGACTGTGGGACTCCAGTCTGATTTTTGTCTGCTTCCTGGCTCAAGATGTGACCACTTAGGTAGGCACAGTGGCACATGCCTGTAATCCCAATGGCTCAGGAGGTGGAGGCAGGAGGAATGTGAGATCAAAGCCAGCCTCAGCAACAGTGAGTGAGGTGCTAAGCAACTCAGTGAGACCCTTTCTCTAAATAAAATACGAAATAGGGCTGGGGATGTGGCTAAGTGGCCAAGTACCCCTGAGTTCAGTGCCTGGTACCAAAAAACAAAACAAAACAAAACAAAAAACAATGTGACCATTCATTCTGATGCATGCTCCTGCCATGACATGCCACCCTCATTGGAAAACCAAACTGATGGACAGGATCTTGGACTTGAACCTCTAGAACCATTATCCAAAATAAATTGTTTTTCTTTGTAAGTTAATTGCCTCAGGTATTTCATTGTAGTAATATAAAGCTGACTAATACAGAAGGTGAGGGAGGCTGGCAGCCTCAGATGAGGGTTAAGAAATTTGGTCATAGGGCCAAAGCCTTGACTCTGGGACTATGTGCAGAGAAAGGTTAACTCAGCAAGCCTGGGTTGTTCAAACTCTGCAAATCCCCAAGAAAGGCTTGGTTCTGGAATGGCTCCTAAGAAAAGAACATTGAGTCTTTGTAATTTCTGCCCAATGAGAGCTTAAGGCCTTGAGCCACAAAATACCAGTTTGATCAGAAAGTTCTACTAATAATGTGATTTAAGTTGAATGGCTGTTTTTGTCTTAGGGGTCAGGAATCTCAGCACCTGTGGTCCGTATGGGTATTGTGTGCTATGGGACTAACCCAATAAAAAGCCTGGATACCAGGGCTCAGGTGAGCTTCTTTACCTGTACTATCACAAATTGTTGCTAGAAAAATTAAGTATTTCCATGTGATTCCACTAGGAAATGACAAATGGAAATTTGTGCTGGTTTCTCTCAGACTTTGCTCCAGGCACTTTCTTCTTCCTTTGCTGCTTTTAATCTGTGTCCTTTTGTTGTAATAAACAATAACCATGAGTATAACAGCTCTTCTAAATCTTATGAGTTCTAGAGAATCTTGAGCCTAAGGGTGGTCTTGAGGGCCCTCACACAGAATGAGACTCACCTGACTCCATGAACTCAGTAATGCCCCTTTCTTGACTTCTAGGACCCTGAGCCTCCTCAATTAGGAACCCCTCTGACATCCTGATAGTGCTACCATCTTGAATGAACCAACCCCAAAGAGGATGAGGAAAACTGCATGACTGTTGAAAGACCAGAGATGAGAATTTCTGTAGGAAGGGAAACAGAGATGTTGTCTTCCCACTTGGTAACTGCTGAAATGCTTCCCTTGATCAATTTCTACAATGGATTACAATGTCATCCAAAGCTTACATATTATTGTCAGTACAAACTAATAATAGCCTTGTGACTTTTCCTTAGATTTGTGTTAACATACAACCCCAGATAACTGGTATCACTATTGTACTGTCCATGTAGTAATGGCAGAGCCCCAAAAGTCCTGAGAAGATATGAGATCAAACAGATGATGGGGTGGGGTGGGACCCATTGGTGGACTCTGTCTTCCATCTTGTCTCCACTAACAAACAGGTCCCAGCTTTGTCTGTCTGCTGACACATTGTTGGTGCCCAATGGGAGCATGACAGGCTGCTAGAGGAGACACACCAAGTAGGCAGGGCAGCAACTCCTGCAAAACCATTGGTGGGAGGGAAAGGACAATGATGGGCATGACAAGGGCAAGTGGACCAACTGGAAAGGGAAGGGATCATGATTCTCAAGGACATAAAGAGGAAACAGAAGAGCAGCAAAGAGGGCAAACAAGTTGAGGAAGGGTTGATGGAAGCCTCATGAAACGAGCAGAAGAGAGAGGAGGTAAAATGCTCAGAAGCAAGTTGGCTGGGCAGGATCCTTCCCCGGATGTTTGGATCCCTAACATACCAACTTCCAGGAATAACCTACCAAAGATGGGCCAAAGAAGTCAATTTCAGCTCAAAACTGGACATGAATAAATATTAAGACACAGATAAGCAGCTGTTGACATGTTTGTGAATGTAAATACAGCATTGTAAGTATTTAATATAAATACAAAAATTACCAAGTACAAATATATTGACCTTGCCCTGTGTTGTCACACTGCCTCAGAGATTTCAGCAGCTTCAAAGAAATTCAGAGAGCTGTTATTAATTAACATTTTCTTGACTAAATACAAGGAATAGCGCCATGAAGTGAAGAGCAGAAATAGGGGCATTATTATCCCAATTTTACAGAGACTCAGCAAGGTTAAATGATTGCTCCAGGTGATTCAGAGGCTGAACTGAGGAGAGGATCAGGATCTCTCTATTCTTATTCAGATGTGGTATTAGTGAAATATTTGAAAACTGAAATTGCAAGACATTAAAATTCTTAAAATGAAGGTGCCCAAATTGTAGCAATTCAGTTCCCTCAGAGTTTGAATTTTCCATGGAGGCAGAAGGAAATTCAGGCTACTCACCACTGTGCCTCCATTTTATAGAACACAGTAGGTTCTTAATAAATATGCCACATATGTGCACAGACACACTAACCTTCTGGGCTACAGCTTCCGTTCTTTTTCTTTCTCCTTTTTTTTTTGGTGGTACTGGAGATTGAAACTAGGGGTGATTTACTACTGAGCCACATCCCTACTTTCCCCTTTCCCCTTTTTAAATTATGAGACAGGGTCTCACTAAATTGCCAAGGCTGGCCTTGAACTTGCCATCTCCTACCTTAGCCTCCTGAGTCACTTGGATCACAGGCATGTGCACCAAACCGGCCCTTCCTTTCTTTTGCTTGGGAATTTGGGACACATTTTATTAACACCAATGCAATACTTATCTGTATTACTTATCTTGACAGGGCCCAATGCAATGATTCAGTTATGGAAGGAGATAATTATGAATCACTATTTACTCCCATGTAAAATAAATGTGCAGAGGCTGAGGGTGTAGCTCAATGGTACAGTGCATGTTTAGTATATATGAGGTTCTGGGTTCGATATTCAGCAGACCCCAAAATAAATGTGCAAAAGACAAGCTAGAAATTACAATAGCTTGTTCCAACTTTCTGATTGTTTTCTATTGGGGGCAGCTTACTCCTTTTGTTGTTTGTTGCTAGTCAAGTTTAGGTATGGTGTTCTTAGATACTATTATATGAAATCTGTATTTTCTTCAGAAGCCTATATGTTACTTATTTCTCATACAAATGCAGGCCTGTGAACAATCAGAGGTAATAATTGATTTCTGCACTGTTAGTAGGATTGTAAATTAGTATTAACCACTATGGAAATCATAGTGGTTGTACTAATTTAAGTTCCTTAAAAGCCTAGGCACAGAACCACTATATGATCTAGACATACCACTCTTCAGCATTTATTCTAAAGAATTAAAGTCATCATACTATAGTCATCCATGCATACCCATGTTTGTAGCAACATAATTCACAATAGCCAAACTATGGGACCAGCCTAGGTGTCCATCAATGGATAGATGGATAAAGATAATGTGATACACACACACACACACACACACACACACACACACACACACAATGGAGTTTTATTTAGCCATAAAGAAGAATAAAATGATGTCTTTTACAGGAAAATGGATGGAACTTGAAAACGTTATGTTACGTGAAAAAAGCCAAACTCAGATAGTCAAGTGTTGTTTGTTTTCTCTCATATGTGGAAACTAGAGAGGAAAAAGAAAAAGAAAAGTGGGGTGAGACAGGGATCTCAAGAAAATCAAAGGGAGATGAGTAGAGTAGAGGAAAGGGACCAGGAGGAGAAAGGAAGGGAGGAAAAGGGAAAATACTGGGGAATGACATTGGTCAAATTATATTGTTATATCATGTGTATGTATGGATATATAGCAATGAATCTCATCACTATGCACCAACAAAAAATAAGGAAAAATAATCTCTTGTTAAGAAAAAACATTGTCCTGAGCCATGGTAAGGACTACTGACAAAGTACCTAAATACCTTGGATATAGGATATTTATTAAAGTAGAGTAAATTTGATTACAGTTTCAATTTCTAACAATATGAAATTATCTGAATAAATTATGAAATTTACTTAAACTAGAATACCATATAGTAATTTCAAGTGATAATGCGCATTTAATATTTATTGACAAGATATATTGCTGAGTAGAAAATAAATTCTTCTGGACAGAATGTGTACTTTGATCCTGTGTATTTAATGATATATTTACACAGACATAGAAATTTATATTTACATAGATGTAATATATTTACATAGACAACAACCAGGGAATACTTGGCAAAATAGTGGCTATTTTTGGTGGTGGTGAAGTTATGAGTATACTTTAACTTTTTTGGTATGTATCTTCTTATTTTTCTCAAATGAACATGAATAATTTGTGTAAATATGTGTGTGTGTGTGTGTGTGTGTACCCTTCGTCTATGTAAATCAGTAATTTTATAAAATTTTCTTAGGCTGCTGTTCTGTTCTTTGTTAATTCCTTTACCAAACTACAAT